CACAGATGTCATGCTTGATGATGTCCCAGCAGGAGCAAAGAAACTCCGAAGAATACCCATCCGGGCCAGGGGCCTTGCCAGACGGCAGAGATTTGATCGCGGCCCATATCTCATCCTCAGAGAATGGCAAGTCGAGGGCGGAAAGGTCGAACGAGCGCTGGTCGAGGGCGTTAAGGTTTATGGAGAAAGCCCTATGGTCAGGGGTACCCAGCGCCCTAGTGAATAACTCGTGGATGGAATCAGCCATGGTTGCCTGATCCGAAATTTCAGCGTCTTCCACCTGAAGGGAAGTGATTCTGGTGCGTTGCTTTCTCTGCGCTGCCCGAACGCGCAGGAAGGAAGTATTGGTCTCCCCGACCTGGAGCCAGGAACAGTGGGCCCGCTAGCGAGCGATGGAACGATCCAGCGACGCGAGGCCCAGATATGCAACCTTCAGACGGCGCCGGAACCAGGCCTCGTGCGGCAAAAGGGGGCGGAAATCTTGGGCAGCATCGAGCCTGGCAATAAGCTCGCGGGCAACGGAAAGTTGCAGGGCCACATGCCCGATGCGGCGCGCGCTCCAGCTCTGTAAGCGCTTGGCAGTGAACTTGAGACGGGCAAAGATGCGTCTGAACGGGTCATCGTCCGCAGAGCAAGAGTTCCAAGCGTTGGCCACAGTCACATGAAAGCCATCAATTTTTGGCCAGAACTTCTCGAAATGGAACCTGCAAGGCCCCGGAGTACGCGGGGTGCAGTCGTTTAGCAGCGGGGCATGATCCGACACCGTGGAGGAGAGGCATCGCATGAAGTAGTTGGGGTGCGTCGTCGCCCAACCGGAGGTACAGAGTGCCCGATCAATGCGCTCCAGAGTGGGAGAGTCTCTCTCGCTAGACCAGGTGTATCGTCGACCGTGGAGATAAACATCCCGTAGCTCCTCGTCGGCAATGAAACGACGGAATCTGCTCATCATGCCCCAATGTAAACGATCATTACTCTTATCTTCAGCCGTTGCAATCATGTTGAAGTCGCCGCCAATCAGCCAGGGGCCGGCGCATAAGGAACACGCAGCGTGCAGCTCAGCAAGGAAGGTAAGCTTGTCCTCGTCACGTTGGGGTCCGTAGACACCAGTCAGCCACCAGTGCCCAGCCACACCCGGCACAGAAGCCAAGGCGGTGACATGATACAGACCAATGTCAGGGTTGGAGAGCGAGATCTCATCACGTCGCCAGGCCAGGATGATCCCGCCGCGCGTGCCAGTGGCCAGAAGCGCGAAGAAGTCTTGAAAGGCCGCACCACAGGTGTCGGAGACAATGGCAGGTGAGACCGCAACAAGCTTGGACTCTTGTAGGCAAACCACACTCGGGGAGACCGAGGAGAGGACAGACCGAACGGCGCTGCGCCTAGCTGGGCAATTAAGGCCGCGCACATTCCAGAAAACAATCTTAAGGTTGCAATTCATGGAAATAAACTATTTTCCATAGAAGGGACCAAGACACGAATGTCAAGCCATGACAAGGAGCCCCTGAGCCACAGGGGATCCAGGAGGGGTACACCCAATGGCACCAGTGGGAATTTTCCACCCATAGAAGTCTGCTAGGGCCTGCACAGTCTCGGCCGCCAACGGGCGGTCAAAGAGGCTGGCGTATTGCTGGAGCAAGCTATCTGAAAGCGGCTGATATTCCTTGAGTAGCCCCAGGCGCTTGAGCAGCATGCGCTTGGCCTTTAGCTCGAAGTCTAGGCCACGATCATACATGGCAATCCGCCCACTACGCCGCGGCGTGAAGTTTGGTGGCAACTCATTGCGCCGACGACGTGGAGGGGGCGCGGGCGTGGGAAGAACCGGAGTAGTAGCTTGGAGCAGGGGCAGCAAAAAATGGTTAACTTCGCCAGACGAATCGCCTCCATGCATGGAAAGGACGGCCCCATGCAGCTGGCCCGCCTGATCCTCTGCAACAGCAGCCGTGGGGCTCGTTGTGCGGTTGCCCTCGTCATGGGAGGGCGGCGGGCCCCCCAAAACATCCCCCACCCCCGAGGCGACAAGAGGCTGCGAGGCAGTTGCGAGCCAATCAGCGTTCTGTACAGGTACGGGCCCACCCTGCTGGGATGAGGATGGGGAGACAGACATGCAGGGGAGTTGCGCCAGCACTGCCTCGTTGTCCGGCCCGCAGCTATCGGGCGCGCAAAACTGGGCAGTATGGTCAGGCAGGGGCCCAGCTGCAGGGCAGCAGCAGGGAGAGGCGACAGAGGCGGTAGGGACCGAGGCAGGCCTCAACCCCACAGGATCTGGACAGCTGTTGAGTTGCGGTAGGTCACGCCCCTCCAGGGTGGGGGACGGCACACAAGGGGTAGGAAACCGAGGAGGATCATCCGCGGGATCCGCGCGGAGAGGAGACGCGGTCATTGCCTCTGGTCGCCGGCCAACGGCAGGATCAACGCAGGATGGGCCCCAGAGCCGGAAGTGTCCAAAACCGTGGCAGCTGCTTTTCCCAAAGCTGGAAAAGAAACCCGGTGGGCCAAGGCGTCAGACATGCGGGCAGGAGGGGTGGGGGCCCAACACGCCCGTCCAAATCCTGGCAGGAGGCGGAGCACTGTATCACCGCCGCCGATGCCGCTTCCCGGCGGCGCCGCCCGGCGCAAACCTATCAGCAGCAGCATCATTGTTCCCGGAACGACGCGGGAATTCGTGTCTCCTAGGCCACGGGTCCGGCAGAGGCGGGGAGCCAGGGCCATCGCCGGCCGAGCCATCATCATCTCCAGGGGGGCGTCGTCGTCGCCGCCGCAGCCGGCCTGCGGCAGAGGCGCAGGTCGCCGGTAGTCGGCCGTCTCCGTGACGAAGATAGTTACCGGGCGGCGGTAGACTCGTAGAGATAGCCGCTCAGCCACCGCGGGATTGGCACCAGGAAGAACCGCATCAGCATCCGGGAGAAAGAGCTCGGAATGCCTCAGGATGGCGTCGGGGTTGTTGGTCCATGCAGACAGCTTGAATGCGGAGCGGTCGGATCCATCGCGAGTCTCCGGCGCCAAGTGCTCAATCTCGCAGAAGGGAGCGAGGAGCAACTCCGCCGTGAAGCGATGCCAGGCATGATCTGGGATGCCAGGCATGATCTGGGATGCCAGTCATCTCGATGTCCACCCTGAAGAGAAGATCGACCGGCTCCGCGTCGACCAAGCTGCTCCAAGGTTGGAGGAATAGACGGAATCACGGAAAACGCGCATTTTCGGCAGCGACGCGGGCACGGGAGGCAGGGTCCGCGAACCTGAGGAGGAAGGGCTCGGGGTGGTGGCGATGAACGGAGATGTCCCCTGGCGCGAGGTGGAAGCGCTGCTGGAGCGCAAGCGCGACCTCAGCGCAGGAGACCCCAGAACAGTTGCCGGCCAGGGTGGCGACAAACATGAGCTGCTGCAGCTCCATCTCGGCCGCCACGACCTCCACCGAACGGGGTAGGAAGTAGAGCCCGACCTCCGGTCGGCGAGCAGGGTGACCCGAAAGAGGCACCGACGAGCCCGTTGCCACCGGGGAGGTGGTCAACGACCTCACGGGCGAAGCAGAGCACGGCTCAGAGGGGGGCGGAGAGGTGGCAGACACACTGCGCGACCCGGAAGACGCGGGTTGGCAAGGACCTGCGACGCTGGACCCAGAGGAAGCGACGGGGTGGACAGCGGCCGTGGAGTGGGGAGGAGCACAGCTTGGGGGCACTGCCGGCGGCGGCGTCGGGCGGTAGGGAGGGTTGGTGCAGTGCCGCCGCAGATGCCCATAGTGCCGGCAGCGAGAGCACCGGATATCGCGGTGACACTCGCTGCGCGGGTGCCGCGTGCTGAAGCAGCGGGAGCACTTCCCCGCGCGGACGGGCCAGGCGGGACGAGAGGGGCGCCCCCCATCCGACCGGAGATCGCGGCGAGGGCGGGGGCGCTTGCGCCGCGAACCTGCTCCCACGGGGCCTGGGGAGCCGGCGCCTCCAGTTGCAGCAGCGACGGCGCGTCCGGGACGACTCGGTGGATCTCCGAGCGCGGACCGCGCCTGACGGCCGACGGAGCGGGGATCTCGGGGCGGACGACCGGCGGAGAGGGGACCACGGAGTCGGGGAGCTCAGGCATGCCGAAACTGAGCGCCTGGCGGTAGGAGGTGGGCGAGGCGCGCGGCTCCGCAGAGCTCGGCGGCGAAAGGCTGGCCTCGAGCCATCGCTGCTCGCGAGGCCGGCCAGGGATGGAGGACGGGGCCATGTCCGACAGGAGTGGACAGCGAGGGAGGGTGGACGACGGGGCCGGAGTGGCCGCCGTCGGGAAGCTGGGAGCCGGGGCGGCTTGGCCGACGGCGGAGACGCGGTACGGAACGAGAGCAACTGCAGCTCCGTATCTTGGAACGACCTTTGTGGCAAAACCCATTACAAAATATAAAGTTTATTCACCATGTGTTGGCATCACAATAGTATTACTCCTCTTGAGTGCTTCAACAAAATGCCCTTCTATCATCCAGCCCACGGAATATGCCATTTTGTTCAAACATCGCTGTAAAGAAATTAGAATTTTCGCCTGCAAGTAGAAGTGCACAATTGTTACTTGTCACAAAAAACGCTAACTACTGTTAATGAAAATGCATATTATTTACTGTACAATATTTTACAACAGCACTTCCAAATCTGCACCTAACCATATATAAAGTATTGTTCCTAAACAACTATATTACAGTCCATTCTGAATCTATATCAAACTACACTACACTAATTTCTGAACCTATACCAAACTATAGTACAATATTTTCTGAACCTATATCAAAACTAAAATACAGTATTTTCTGAACGACTGAACCTATATCAAACTACAGGACACATTGATCATAACAGGATAATGCACAGGGGAGCACACAACGACATCACACATTGATCATAGGCCTAAGCAGGCATATTTACATGGATGAGGTTCATGAGCACATCAGACGATAGACTATAGAGCATGAACGACCTCGGCCGTACTTAATGGGAACCGTGTAACTAAGAAACATGTGTCCAGCTCAAGTACTACTTTCAACTACCTGTATGGCCAATAGTTGTTAAATCTGACTACCTAATCTACAACAAAAATGTGTACAATCTGGAAATTCAACCACTTTCAATACAATTTTCTTTAGGTTTTCTTGTTTTTCTTAGGAGACAACAAGTAACACAAGTGAACAAATCGAATCAAAGGGGATTAAGGGTTGCTGTAGTACAAGGAAAGACCGAAAGAGAAGAGAGGAGTAGGGGGGTGGGGGGTGGCAGACCTCCATGGACATGCACATCGCCCCATCTCCCTTGCCCTTCTTCTTCTGGTCCTTCTGGTCCTTGCTCATCCATCCCCTTCCTCTTCTTTTCTCTGCACATGGAATTGACATACTAATTCAGGAATTTTTCAAAGAGGAGAGCAATGAACTTTTTTTTGGAGCCAAGTTGATCTTTACGGAAAAGAGTAAACGTATATTACTTTTTTGTTAGTGAGAGAACCCATAGAAAGTGCTAATGGTAGGGTAATGCATATTCAGTTCTAAATAAAATGTATTTGCCTTGTCAAAACTACATACATAAGTTAGAATCACAAGGCTGGAGCATTATTCATGAAATTAAAGAAATCACATGATTTGTCCATGGGCACATGTCCTTTTAACTCCATATATATACACATAGCCAGGGGTGTCCACACACAGTGAGAGAGAGGGTGGTAAAAAATTAGCAGACCTGGATGAACGGTGATCAGGCGGAGTATAGGCAAAGTGGCAGAACGAATCTCCCAGCGTCACCTTGGAAGTCCAGGAGCAGTCAGATCGATTCCAGTATTTTACTCTGCTAGCACAATCACACTCCTTCCAGAGCTGCCGCGATAAGCAGATTGTCAGGTATGCACACATATACAAATCATCGACTTTCTATTAAAGATAATGGCATACAAAATAATTTGTTTCCTTCCTACACATATCCACATCTCGGATAGGTTCAGATTGGGGCGAGGACAAATTAGAGAACAAAAGATAGAGGAACCTAGGTGTTGATTCACCTTTGTCGCGACAGGCGCTGAGGATTGACTGTCGAAGCCGCTGGTGTAGGCGGTGCCGAGCAGAGAGAGGAGCCAGGGTTTCGGTTTGGGGATCTAGGTCAAAGATTAGCATCCTGATTATATACTTTACTGAACTGAATATATATATATGATGGATTTACTTTGGTTTTTCAGCTGTTGTGGTAAAAAATTCTAAACTTGACTGATATTCTACAAAAATATTTACCGGATGTGATCTAGTGTGTTGTTGTAAATACAAATAAATATACTTTTAATCAATATTTGCACATCCCTAACCTCTACGCTCCAGCCATGATGTACTATGTAATTACGAAGTTCTTAGCTTTCTCATCTTTTAGAATTAGAACATGACACTACTTAGATATATCTCCTTGACACAGAGATCCTAAAAAACACCAGGCACATAAGCCTAAACAAAATAGTGGTGGTTACCTTGAAAAAAAAGCACTTTGACCCTTGTCTTTCTCCATCAATCAATGATCCAAATTCTACTATAGATGGCCACAGATTGCCCATTCATTATAAAATTAGATACTGCAACCATGAATCTCACTCTCGTTCCAAAGTTAAACTAAAGATGAGAGCTAATTATATATGCACAAGCACAAGCCATCCAAAGAATTGATCTGGTTGTTCATAAAGTCAAAACCACTATATATTGATTTGACCAAGCATGATTCAAATCATACTACCCTTCAACCTCCGTCGTAGGACCTATTGAGATACAATGATATAATGGCAGAACAAAAGGAAAAGAAAACCAGAAAAGTAAAATCATGGTAAGAGCATCGACTTCATATCCTAATCCACGGAAGCATCATGCATACAAAGTCTGTGCATGATGGAAATGTAGAGACTATATATCTCACCTGCTGACGTCCACAGAGTGGAGGTAGAAGAAGCTCGCCGGCTAACATCACCACAAGGAGGAGCTCAGGTTGGCCTTGGAACAGCCTGGTGTCACCATGGAAGTCCAGGAGCAGTCCAAGCGGCGTTGTCACTATGACCTTTTACTCTGCAAGCAGTGGATGTCAGCGAGTACACCACAGGTAATCCTAGAACAAAATGCTGCATTGTGCACGAGAAAGACTTGACCACATAGTAAGCTGGTGACTAGGTCAATTATACTGTTCTCAACTTAAAATTAAACGAGTTACAGAGTTCCAACTAAAGGAATCTAGCTGTTGAACCTATTTGTAACAAAGCTATATATATGCTGCTGGTGAGCATTGAGAGAGTGCTACTACTACTAAATGGGATTTTTTTTAAAATAGAGATCCAAGACACTTCCAAAAAAATTACAGTTGCACACACTGGAATCTCTTAAACAGTAATTCGCAGATAAAAGCAGTGTCTATCTTGTCTGTCCTGTTTGGCACCTATTGGGCAATCTGCATAACTACAAGGGACATAAATTCTTATCAAACAACAAAAATAGTTTTAGTCACTAAAGATGACACGACACGGTGAGAAAATCCCTTATAATTTTCTAACAAGTACATAATTATAATAGCAATGAAACATAGAGATGCAGACTTGCAAGTAAAAAGTATATAGAACAGTACACCATGGATGCTGAAGATGTTCAATTATACTCAGAAAGCAAAACACGTGTTCAAACGAGTGCTGAAAAAAGGATCTCACCTTGTTCCAATAGAACATGTAGTGATCCACAAACATAGTTAATGTTCTCTGTATTCATTGGTTCAGATCTCATGGCTCCATAGGATGGTGATGCAAAAGAACACTACTTTTTTGTTAATTTAGTAGCAAACCCGCAATGCACAAAAAAGATGAAATGGTTAATAAATGTGCCAATCATTCTGAAGCTAGCTATCATGCAAAGATAGAGAAGGAAGGTGACAACGGGTAAGGAATGCTATCATGGTCTGAAATAAAATTAAAAACCCTTTGGAATCTCAGAAACTATTATCATAGAGATTAGCTAGCTACCATGCAATAATTTTAGAAAACGACAGGTATAAGCAATGTGACATAGAAAAGCAAGACAATCATTGACCATGAAAGAAATATATCGGTAACATCTTCCTTATAACATGTCTATTTCTAATGATAAGATATGAACAATAATAACATGTAATGGCGCAATCATCACCACGATCTACTTCCACACCTCCTCCACACCGCAGAAGGAACACTGGAAGATCAGAATATGATGGCAGCCTGACAAAGCTATAGCCCACCCAAATAGGAGCAAGATTGGTGCCCAACATCAATTGACCTGTCAGAGAAAGGCAAAAAAGACTAAAGTGATAGCCTGACTATAGATGCTAGAATTATGGATCGAGGAATAACCTGAGTTTTATTGACCCTTGACCCCGACAAAGCGGTAGCAGCAGCAACCACATGACCCTGACAAAGCTCGTCCAGATAGGAGCAACTGACCCTGTCCATAGATCTAGATGTAAGAACACTGCAACCACATGAAGCATAGACCTATAATATGTAATAATCTGTAAATCACACTTGCTATTGTATAATTTTTAAGAGATGCATGTGATCTGATTGAGAAAAACACCTTGTGTGGCCATTCTGCTTGTGTGGCCACCCCGGCTCCTCACTAATGCAAATATTGATTAAACCATAATTGCTATTCAAGATTTGAAAACTCAGATCATGGCACCCTTGCCTCAGTTATTGTTGAAATCATAGGAGCACAGTAAAAAGAAACAATAAATAAAACAACAAATGAACAAAACCACCAACATTCCATGCACAAAGGTGAAAGGACCAACAATCATAGGCCCTACCAGGATGCAGACAAGGAACAAAAGACATATATTTAGACTCCACTAAAAACAAGCAGTGAAGACAGGAAACCACCAACATCTAATGCACAAAGACATAAATACTTTTGGCTTTTACCAGAAAAGATATGACCGACAATCAGAACAGAGGCGAGGACAAAAATGCATATTGCCATACAATCCTACACCTAGGTATGGAAAGAAGAGGGGAAAGGAGGAGAAGAGGGGTTGATCTGAAGATCCGTGGAAGAGGACGTGCGAGGCTGCTAATAGATGACGTGCACGCACAGATCGAAGGAGGCGCCTACCAGGGGTTTGACCAGAAGGACGAGAATCAGGTAATTGTGGACCAATCTGCATGAAAAAGAAAGCAAAAATCAAAGATTAGCAGCAGCCAATGACCAAGAACAGAACAAAATAGACACATACCTATGGATCCCTGGACGTGCTGGAGAGGAGGCAGGGGCTGGCCGTCGTTGCTCCTTTGGCCGCTCTCCATGGTTTGGGCGGCGCCAGATCGAAGGGGGTGGAAGGAGGAGGACGTGAGGGGAGTTGGTCAGGCGGTGGTGGGGAAGGAGGCAGGGGCGGTGGCGCTAGGGGCGAGAGGAAGAGGAGAAGGAGGCCGGGCGGCGGCATGGATGGAGGCAGGGGCGGCGACGCTAGGGGAGAGAGGAAGAGGAGAGGAGGCGCGCGGGAAGGGAGGGGAACGAGCGAGAGAGGGAGAGGATGCCCTCGGGAGGGGAGAGGAGGAGGCTAGGGTTCACCACGGGAGCCGGCCCTTTTATACCATCTGTGAGCGAAATGACGAAAATGCCCCCGGCAGGGCATGCTATTTACGCGCGGTGGCACGAAACGGGAGTAACTATTCATTCCAGCAGTAACTTTTTTTTTTGATCCGATGGCCGAGGTCTTCCACCCGGTCGATCCGACGGCCCAAGATCCATCAAGCAACCAGATCCGACGGCTAGGAACTCCAAATCACTGAGGAGCCGGGAGGGTTACTCGATCCCTTATTTCTCGATTGCCTGCCCGGTCAAGTGTCACCGAACTTGTCCAGGTTCCGTGACTTGGAATAATTCCAGGTGGAGTGACTGTGCAGTGACTCGATTGTGCCCTGGCACTCGGGCAAGAGTGTCCCTGGAGCGAGTGTCGTGTCTGTGGCAAGAGAGACCCACCTTTCTTCGGAAGCGGCAAGTCCAACTATGCCTCCGACCGAGTCCGGCCTCCGACGGAGCTCGGCGCGATCGGTCATCCGTTCTGTTGACCTGCTCGACCGTCGTTGACGCTGACGCTCCAGAGCCTCTTTTGGTCAACAAATGCCCGTCGAATAGTTGACGAGTTTGTTGTGGGTCGTTGTAGTGCCAAAAAGCAACTACGCAGATATTCAACAAGTTCGTTAATTAAACTAGTAGTAGTACTAGTATATTCACTCTCAGCAACTCCACTTGTGAGGTAGCTGTTTCAACGTTTGGAAAGGGCACTAATATTTTTTGCACGATGAGAAAAAGGAGCAAACTTTGGTATCGGCTTCCACAACTAACAAGAAGCTCACCCGCAAAAGAAGAAGAAGAAGAAGAAGAAACCCTAACAAGAAGCTGGCCAGCTGCGCGCGCCCACCATTCTCCCAACATCATCTTCTTGTGCAAGTTCAAGAGTTGGAGCCTTGGACCCAGGAAGAACGAAAATATGACGGGAGCAAGCGACAACGAGACGCCACCGAGGAGCTTATACAAAATCGAAAGAGAGGCGCGAGTCCACACTCCAGAAACAGAAACAAAAACGAAAGCAGAAAGTTGCTGCGGCAAACAAATCATCCATGGATGGATAACCTAATTCAGTGGCGGCGCCGCTAGCTCTGGGTCGGTACATTGCCTCCGGCGCATGGCTTTTACCGACGGTTTACCGATCAACGGCGGAGCTATGTTGGGGCCGAGGGGGGCCGTGGCCCCCCCAGCTTTGGAGAAAACCCTGAAGAATTTTTTTTAAGGGCTAAGATGAGGTGAAAATTAGCCTGTTGCCCCCCTAGCTCTTTGTTATTTACGTTTCACCCCCAATGGTTTTGGTCTAGCTCCGCCACTGTTACCGATTCTGAACTTTTTTCCCCGGCCGGCCTACCGGTCGCCCTCGCGTCCTACCTGGACACTGGAAAATTGCAGTATGTAGCCATGGATTGCCTGCCCGGGTAGGTGCCACTGAACCTCTCCAGGTTCCGTGCCAGGCAGATCTTCCAGCCCGGGACTGCACTGAACCGATCATATGCCCTGGTGCGCGGGCAAGAGAGTTCCTTCCGGTCGCGTCAGTGGCATTTGTGCGTCCGCGCGCGCGACCGAGCCCGGCGTCTGAAAGTGCTCAGCGCGGGCATGTTGGCGACGCTGACGTTTCATAATTTCTGGCTAGTAAATGGATATTTGACGAGTTCGTTAGAACGTACTCCCCTCGTTTTTATTTAGTTCGCATATTAGCTTTGGTCAAAGTCAAGCTTTGTAAACTTTGACTAAGTTTATAAACAAAAATATTAACATATACAATAAATAATCAATACCACTAGATTCATTATTGAATGTACTTTCACATCATATAGATTTGTTATGGTAAATGTTTATATTTTTTTTCTATAAACTTGATCAAACTTTGCAAAGTTTGACTTCGGTCAAACCTAATATGCAGACTAAATAAAAACAGAGGGAGTACCACCAACTCGTAATAAGATATTCAACTAGTACTTTATTCCACCATGAGCGAGCCCACTTGGTTTGTTTGCTTAGCAGCTACTACATGCCCAACGCATCCAGTGTAGAGTACGTACGCACACACAGACAAACGGTTCTCAACAGAAGATCCAAGTGCTTTGTATGATCAGTAATCGGCTCGTTAAGCAAAAGAAACACCGTATTTGATAGGGAGATGAGATGGGAACCAACTTATGCCAAGCAACTCATTACCGGCGAAGAAACGGAAGTATCGCCTTCCACACTAAACAAGAAGTGTCCACAATCATCTTCTTGCGCAAGTTCAGGAGTTGGAGGGGGAATCCCAACCGCTACGCCGTCCGTCCCGCCAACAGTAAAATATCACGAATAGGAACGTAGGAAGAAGAAATATCTCAGTTCATTCATCGATTCGATCTTGAAAATTCTACACAAATCTCGTCAGAACCGCCCCGTGCGTGCTTGGCCTCGCCTGATCCGTTCGGCCGGGGCACGCACGGGTACGGCGTGACGGGAGCAGGCGACGGCGAGACGCCACTGATCTCTTTGCAGAGCTTATCCGAAACCGAAACAGGGGCGAGATGAATCCACACTCCAGAAACAGAAACAGAAGCAGAAAATTGTCGCGGCAAACAAATCATCAAAGGACGGATAAGCCTCCCGTCACGGGTCAAAGATGAGATGCATGCACCATGTGTCTCAATCTGTAACTCAAGTAGTATATCCAAAACCAAGGGCGTTCATTTTACACCACGGAGGGCAGAGGACGAGCTCACTGTATGTACAGATTACAGAAGAGAGGAGGAAGAGGCTCACTCCACCTACTGCTACGGGCTAGCTAAACTGACCAGGCCGGAGTCAAATTGGGTCAAAACTCAAAAGCATCTAACTGTAGTATCTTGCTATGGCATGTCGACGTTGATTTGTTTACTGGCAGTTGTCGCTGGGACGCTCGCCGGCCACGGAGACGGCGGAGAGCCGGCTCGGCCTGGGGCGGAACCCGCCCGCGCGCCTCCGGTGCTGTGCGGCGGGGGACGGCGCGAGCGCTCTGCGGGCACACTGCCCGCTGTCCATGCGCTTCGAGCCCAGACTGCAGGCGCTGCGGACGGACGGCGGGGAGGCGGGCTTGCTGCTCCCGGCGGGGGCCCCCTCCTGCTTGCGCTCCTTGTGGAGGCTGCAACGGAACGAGCCCGGGTGGTTCGTCGAGGAGCACATGCAGGACCGCCGGCTCCTGGTGGATGACGGGGAGGAGACGCTGACGGACTTGCCCGGCGAGCGGGTGGCGCCGTTGGCGAGCTTGACGCGGGTGGGCGAGGCGGAGCGGTAGGTGGGTATGGAGAGCACCGGGCCGCTGGGTCGACTTGTGGTTGCTGTCGCCATGAGAGAGAGAGAGAGAGATCGAGGAGCGCGAGCAGTTGGAATCGGGTGCGTGGAGGAGATGGAATCGGGAGTAAACCTGAGAGAAGCGGGTTGGGTGCAATTTATAGAGACGAAGACGAGCTTCAGTGGGTGGGGATTACGGGTGGGCGCTGTGGGTGGCTGTGCCGTGGGCCCGGACGGGATTCAAGGCAGGTAGGTCCACCCTCCAATATTCAAAGGAGTCATGCCAGCTTGCTTGGAATATTTTGTGTCAAAAATGCTGGCCAATTTCTTGCACCACAAACCAGTACACATATATAAAAAAGACACAAACCAGTGTTCTGACTAGTAGCATGTCGCTATTCTTCATGCTCCAGATTTTTTTTAAGGTACGCAAATTGCGTACCATAGCTTTATATGAGAAACAGCTCAACGTGCCTGCCCGACCCGCCATTGTCTGTCTCCATGCGCTGCATCACTCGCGGGTGCTGGTGATCAGATGGCCTATTGATTAAAGACGGGAGGCGTCCCGGCCCTTTCGTTGTTGTTGGAGAAAGCAGGGCGGGACCAGACACTGCTAAAACGGCGCTGCTATACACACGACAACCCAGCAGCCGACTCATGGACGATCCCATGTGGCAGCTCCAACCGCGTCCGTGCATGCAGGAGGTGATTGTTTTTTTTTTAGCTGATGCGTTGAGAACGCATCGTTCGCAGATCGTTCATGCTGTATCGTGTGTGAAGCAATTCCGCTGCTAAAATTTACTTTCAATCATGTGAGCTCCGTCCTATAGTTGTGGATCTTCAATATACTGCATTTGTCCATATGCTCACATAATTGGAGTACATGTTTTTTTAGCAAGCATATAATTGAAGAGATGGTGATTTTAATTGCAGATTCTTCAGTTGATTGCGAGCATATGATTGTATCCGATTTTGGAGAAATAATAAACACTATATAGCACCATGTGCTCTATATATTCTTTGGTTGATTGTGGAACAAAACGTAAAAAGGACTAGCTAGATTAGTGCATTGGTATGGGATTCCACCTGAGATGCGATAAGAATACGGTGCCACATTTGGAAGAATCTCGTTGATATTTTCGAAAGTGAAAGATCTTGTTAATCCTTTTTGGCCTAAGCATGCAATGTAGTATGTGTCAAATCAGGCTAAGCCTGGCCCGGCCCTACGTCGATTGTAGCGTCATCTCCTGAGATATGTTCGTGTCATGTAGAAACATAAACTTTTGCCTTCGGTATTTGAATTTTATTTCTGTACTGGAGCGAGCTAGTTTCCTGAAATGCTTACCAAGTACTTTCTTATATACCTTGGTTGATTGTGGAACAAAACACAAAAGGGACTAGCTAGATTAGAGCATCTCTACTCCTAAAGGGGGAGTTCATTGTCATTTCTTTTCGCTTCTTCCCGTAATACTCCATGCGATCAATCGATCGAAGTCTCTCTACCCACCGACTTTTACAACGCCAACCTCCCCAATATTTTTTTTCTCTCCTCCTATGTTTTTTCCTGTTGGTCATCTGCCCCTCTCGCACAATCTCATCTCCCCCTACATGAGCGACCGAACCCTATATGGCCGATGCCGACGGCGATCCCACTCGCCTCCATCCCTCCCGCTCGCCTCCACCCTGGTCCTATCCCTAAGCTTAAGTTGCTACGCTTCCCCATTGCCCCACCGGCCATGGCTTCCCACCCCCGACTCCACCACCACCAGCACCTCCATCGCCTCCACCTCCACCCCCGTAGTCCCTTCTCCGGCGTCCTCTCTACATCCCCGTGTCCTCTACTACGCCATGGCCCTGGTGGGGGTTGGTGGCACAGTGGTGGACGGGTATGCTGGTGGGGGCCTCGTCGAGGGTGAGGGGGACGCGGACGGGGACGGGGATGTTAGTTGAGCAGGATGCCTCTTCCTCCTCGCGAAGACCTAGCTCCACCATCATCTTTTCTACCTTGGACACCGAACTAGGCATGCCATAAACAACCATCTTGGAACCTTAACCCGTGAAAAGAAAACATATGTTATGAAAGGAACCCTAAAACCCCCATTCACCCCCAGGGAAGAATACCAAGGCCGGGCAGTGATGCAAGATCATCCCGTGATCGGCCCAAGTCAGCTATCTGGGGAGATCAGAGACAGGGAAGACGAAAAACTCAACGGCGGCGGTAGTCGCCCCGAGAGAAACAAAACCCTAGCTAGAGGGGACAAGTAGCTACCCGTACCTGTAAAAGGCGCTGAAGGCGTTGAATAGGATTTGGGGCTCCCGAGGCACTCCAGGAGTGTCCCAGTTAGCGGTTTCATGCTCTGAATGGAGCGGCCACCGCTCATGCGCGTTTCAGTTGGGCTGGTCGATTACCACTTGCATTTCTGTTTCGGATGAATTCCATGGAAAACTTTCTAGATAAGCATTGAGCTTGACATTCGGTCATGGTCGACGGTCATCTGCAATGAAGCAGCGGGCCGGCCAGAGGATGAAAGGTACCTATAATAATCTAACAGTTTTGCTAAGTCTCAATCGACTGAGACTTCGTTATGCCTCAGTCGATACTATCTTTCTTTGAGTTTGCATGGGGATTCATATTTTTTTTCCTTTTTCTTCTTACATACTATATCACTTGCGTGTGACTTGGTTAATTCTCAGTCAGCTGAACCTAGGTACACCCACGAAATGCGCATCGAGTGTTAACGACTGTCAAAATTGGAAAAAGTTTCAGTCGATTAGTCCATTGGTATAGTTTACTCGCCAGATGAAGAGCGCCTCGAAAAGAAAAATACTCACCAGATGGCAATGATGATCTGATCCTGATAGCCTCGGTTAAGTCGACCAAGCAATTGGTTACTGTTGGAAATGTACCGCGTGTGCCCGTTGCATCAGCGGCCGTATATGTTACTTGAACATTCAGTCGCCTGGAAGTGTCCTGTGACGTTAAGAGTCATATGTTTTGGCCAACCATATCCATGAACCAAATGTCGAGATTAATCATTGTCACCGCAGGACGTTCCACCAGTCTAGTGTAATCAAGCATGTCGACACAACATGTACCAGGATATTTCGGGCACATGCCCACATGACGCGCCATGCACAGGGTTCCTTCCTTGCATTCTCTCATCTGACTGTACATGGACACACAATGGCGAGAGCGAGATGCATGCATGTATCTTTTCTCGTGGCTTCCTCATGAGATTCCACGCAAGCAGCATACTGGACAACCCAATCATGGAGCACGTACCACACGCAGGAGGGTAGGACGAGGGCTAGTCTCGCTCTCAACTGGCATGTCGACCAGTGGCTATTCTGTCTCCCACCAACTTGTCGTCAGCAATTTACACACGTCCTGATGGCCGATCGCCCGCGTAATGTCCCAGCGCCTAGCCGTACGTGTCGCTGTTAGGCCGTGCATCCATGTCGTCGTTGCCACGATTAAATATCTAGATATTTCACTAAACTGTTTAGTTGCCGTCCCTCCCCATTAGTGGCGAATCTAGAAAAAAATGGAGGATGGACTCAAAGTTTACGCAGAGAAAACCGTATGCTCTTTTGAAGAAGTCGCTTATCTCCTAATCCTTTTGTGCAAATAAACCGAAACTATCCCAGATTACTACTTGAATCATGTACTATTTACTAGAAAATTTCCGGATTTTTTAGGAAATATCAAATTTTGAACCAAAATTTGAATCTGTTCACTAAAATGGCCATTGTCTCCTAATCCTCTTGGCCAAATAAGCTCAAAATTTCCTAGCCTACTACTGGAAACATGTAGTATTTTCTGTCATTTTTTTCGAATTTTTGAAAAACTTCAAATTTTGAAAGGAAAAAAAATGGTTTTACCAATTTATAGACAATATGTGCCAAACAAGTGCTCAAATGGACATGAAATTTCTCAAGACCAATACTAGTAGCATGATTGACCAGACAACGGAGTTTCATACAATTTGCACACCAATACATCAAGTACTAGAGAAGCAACCAGAAAAAGACAAAGACAAGATATGGTGTTGCTTCTTACTAACAGTATTGTAGTTGTAGAAAACGTCCAAACCAAAATGCAAGTGACGAACTGCAAGCCATCTGTCCAAATTAGCACAACAGTTAGTGATATGGTAATTTGGTAACGTATGTATCCTAAACTAACTATGGACACTAGTACTAAAACAAAGATATACCTCTAAGAAATAACACCATACTCAGGAGGCAAATGTCCTTTGCGATTTTTCTTCTTCTGAAATCGTACCATAATTTGATCATCGGGAATACTTTTGAATATCCTTTTCTCACAGTAGCATACCATTAAATCATTGAGACAATCATCTGATATCTTATTGCGCAAATAGGTTTTGATGACCTTCATTGCTGAAAATATTCGCTCGACCGACAAAGTTGCCACTGGAAGAATCAATGTCAACTCAATAAGGCGATATACCAGTTGGAAAGTTCTATGTTTCGTTGTTTGAACCATCAACCGAGCAAGAGTAGTAACATCCGGACATCCATTGAATTCCTCACTTCTCCTAATATTTGTAAGGAACGTTGGAAGCTGATATCTTAGCAACAACCATTCAGCTTTGTGTAAAATCCTCAGCATAAATTTCAGCAAGACGAATAAGTTTGTCATCATTAAACTTTGAGAAGTTGTTAGCTGGATTAAGACAAGACATGCAATCCACTAACTCGGTGTTAACTTCATTGAATTGGTGGTTCATCTCAGTGAGAGTTGCATCAATAGCAACATTGAACATGCTCACCTTGAAATAATGATGTCGAGTCGCCTTATTCTTACTTCGAACGGATTGCCCCATTAGCTCCAACAAGATCATCCATATTTGGCACATCAATGCTATGTTCCTCACAAGCTCATTCTTGATGACTTTGGTTACCTCCAATGCACAACATGTAGCAAGGTCCTTTTGAATCTCTGAACATATCTAAGTGCATTACCTTGCCCATTGTCAAATGCATCTTTCACATCTTTATTCTTGTCTTTGTACCAGTCCAAGAACTCCCTG